ACAGCTTCTCCTGAGAGGTTGAAGGGACTGGGCTGCTGCTGTTTCCACAGAGGTCTGTGAAGCTAAACAGAGACTACAACAGGGACAATGACAACAACAGCACCAGGTGACTCAGGCTGGGCAGGCCTCAGGCATGCCAGCCCTCAGCCACCTGTGTGATCACTCACACTTCTTGCAGGGCAACCTGGGGCCAAGGCCCAGGCTCCACACCTGGGAGGGACACCAATTTGGGAGGCAGGGGTTCAAGAGCTCTTGGGACTAAAAGAGACACCTGTAATCTCTGCTGTCAGCCCGTGAGGACACAAGAGGTAAAGAGAAGGTAGATACAACAAAAATAACAAGCACAAAACAGCAAAATCCCATCAGAGGATTATAGAGTCTTGGGAATGGGATGTTAAACCTTTCATTCCCTAAAGTTACATTCCCTTCCCTCCACACCTCTGGGCACTGATCAATAGAGAATGACTTAAGACCACCTGCCCACTCAGATTTCCTAGCACTTGGGAAGAGACAGAGACATCAGGATCAGGAGTCTGAAGCCAGCCTAAGCTACATCTGACCCTATCTTAAAAAAAAAAAAAAAAAATAAGGCTACATTTTTGTTTCTCTGAGTGGAAGAAGAGGAGACTTGACTTTGCAGTCAGTTAGGAGGAAACACGAAGGAAGTTAAAGGAAGGAACGCTAGCTATCTTGGATTTGAGAAATCATTTCAGGGACTTAAAAGTAGAAAATCCTGGTTCCTTGCGAGTTCCATTATGCCTTCTTTATCCTCTTGATCCTTGATATACTCTCCTCCAAGCCCTGACCTGGTGCCAGGGGCCTCCTGAGAAGCATCAGCAAAGGAAGGTAGTAAGAGGTCCAGAAAGAACTTTGGAGGATAATGTGGGTATGGGGTGATAGACTGGCTGAATTGAGTTCCTTGTTGTTGCCTCACCAGGGAGGAGGAGGCCCAGGTGGCTGGTCTGATGGCTTGCCCAACGCCATTCCCAAGGTCCTGAGTCACCAAGTGCCCTAACTGAAGCCCATGCCTGAGACGCTGACTTGGCTAGCAGGGCTTTCAGGGTTTAAGCCAGTATCCCAGAAATGGAGAGGAACATAGTGCTTCCTAGAATGTTTCCTGGAGGGACATGGAGGACATTCGTGGAATTTCCCAAAGTTTGGCCCAGGATGCTTGGTTTTCTTATTTCCTGCCTCATTTCTGGCAGAGGAATTGCCACAAAAGCCCATGCCTTTGTGGCTGGGCAAGGTGAAGAACTATGAAAACCTTTTTACAAGTGGCAAAACAGAATCGGGGGTGGGGATTCCTCTGATCTGTTTGAGACCTCTAGAGAGGGAGGTTAAGTGAGGTTTTTAACCGGCACCTCCCTGTGTACCAGTTACTCACACAGCATCCTTGATGGTCCATAATTGTTTAAGACTATCTCTACACACACCCTGGTCTCCTCGGCCCAGTCTCAAATTCTGGCTCATTGTTCCATCCAGTTTCACTCTAAATTCCCATATCCACAGCACCTATTTTCCTCCCTCGGCTCAAGCCATTGTGAGTGTCGGAAGCACCACTAACAACGACGCTAGTAACATATCAGCGTTCCAATGTCCAGGCGGATTACCAGCGAGCAGATGCTGGCCGGAAGCAGCGCCCCCTCGTGACCAGTGACTACCAGAGAGCCTTTCCCTGACCGAGGGGAACAGGAAGGAGTCAGAACCACTCCCACCAAGGAGCCACAGCCCAGTGGAGGAGGCAGTTAAGGAAATAATTACAGAGAAGGTTTGGTGACTCAAGCTTGTAATCCCAGCACTGGGAAGGAAGGACGGCGGCTTCAAGACAAGCCTGGGCTGCAAAGGGAGTTCCAGGCTAACCAGAGCAGGCCTCGGTGGGGGTAGTACGGGGATAATTACAGCAAGAATGAGTGCCCCTCGGGTGCAAGCGCCGTCCGCTCCTGGGCTGGAACCTTGGGCCAGTGATTCAGACCCAAACGAGGGACGAACCTGTGGGTTGCACCTCGGTAAACTCAATGACCTCCATACTAATTATTCAAAACAACTGAGGATCGCCATCAGGCCCGCTCCGGGCGTCTTTTAATGCATGTGGCTCAAGTCTGCAAGAGCTGGAGACTAAAGTGATGGCACGCCGCGTGCATGTAGGTTGTTTGTTTTAAGCTGCCCCGTCTGTTTGCCCACATCCCTCCTCCAGAACCAGGACTCTACACTCCCCGAAGATGCCGGAGCGTAGAAACGCCCTTAAGTCAGAAGCGTCAGGGCAGCCGCACGTAGCAGAAGGCACGCTGCACACTCTTCGACCATCACCGGCCCCTAAGGCACTGAACAAAAAAGCCAGAGCAGCTTCGGCCCTGTCCCGCCCCAGCCAACATTTAATCCAATCACGGCTTTGAGGCAAGACTGATGTGTCTTTCCTCCAATCACCGCCGAGGTGCGAAGGGGTTGTCGGGATGGCGGCCATAGCTAACATGGAGTCCTCGGTAGGATGAGAGTGGGGTTGCCGTTGCTAGTTGCTCCTGTCTTACTGCCTCATCATGTTGGTGCACTTATTTCGGGTCGGAATTCGGGGTAGTCCGTTTCCAGGCTGGTCGCTGCAATCCCTGCGCTCCCAGACGTTCTCGGCCGCCAGGTAAAACAACCAGAGGTCCTTAAAGTGCGGGCCATTGACGGGCCGGCATCGCGCTGGGCCCGCCGGGAGGTGGAGTTCTAGGCTCGCGCGCGGCCTTCTGGGAGCTGTAGGCAGTCGGCTGGAGTCGAGTGTCACTCCCCGAGGAGTTGGCCTCAATTATTTATGGTGCAGTGTGGGTGCCAGCAGGAGGCTCCGCAGGTCTGCACTCACTAGCCAACGGGACGCTGCGGACTCCGCGCCCGGGCTACACCATTGCCCATCAAGGGGCGCCACGCGCAGCCGGCCTCCGCTCTCTGATAATCTTTAATTGGTGTCCATAGGCATTTAGTATTTATTGATGGTGCTTCAGCATTAGCCGACATAATTTTAAATGATCAAAGGAGTTTCCTTAGCTGGCGAGATGGTTCAGCGGGTAAAGGCTCTTCTTTAATCA